GACTTTTAAAGTTATGGATATAAATAACGAGTACAACGCCATCATCGGCAGAACGGCATTGTACAAACTTCAGGCCGCAGTCTCTATCTTTCACTACGCGTTAAAGTTCCCGACAACCCGAGGAGAAGGAACCCACTTCGGAGATCAAAGAGAAGCTCGACAACTTGTAACGTTCATCCCATCTCATGGAGTTCACTCAGCTTCAACGAGTACCAATGAAACCTCCCCACAACATCACTATCCGAACGATGCGATGACCGAAGAACCGAGCAACCACGTCGGTGAACCTTCCACCTCGGATCCGTTGACCGAAGACCGAGGACGCCGACCTGGAAAAGAGCCCCTCCTTGAAGAAGACGAGCTGAATCCCAGAGCATTGTTTAAAGAAAAAAGTCGACCTGATCGAGCCGAACCTGGAGAAGACGTGGAGTTAGTCTATATTGACGAACCAGTCTTCCACAAATCATTACGTATCGGAAGTCATCTTCAGGAACCACTTCGGTCAGAACTTATTGCGTTTCTCAAGCAGAATTCTGATGTCTTTGCCTGGAAGCACGAGGACATGAAGGGCATCGACCCCGGTGTCGCTAGCCACAAATTAAACCTCGATCGAACAGTCCGGCCTGTTGTACAAAAGAGAAGGAAACTGGGGCCGGATCGTCAGAAGGCATTGGAAGAAGAAGTCAAAAAACTCGTTGACAATAAATTCATCAAGGAAGCCAAATACCCGACGTGGGTCTCAAATCCAGTTCTCGTTAAAAAGAGTAACGGGTTGTGGAGATTATGTATTGATTTTTCCGACCTCAACAAGGCGTGCCCAAAAGACAGTTATCCGCTTCCCCACATAGATTATATGGTTGACGCCACGACGGGACATGAGTTGATGAGTTTTATGGACGCTTACTCCGGCTACAACAAGATTCCTATGGATCCCGAGGACTCTGAACATACTTCATTCTATTCGGCCCGAGGTTTGTATTGTTACACTATGATGCCATTCGGATTAAAAAACGCCGGAGCCACGTATCAATGTCTTGTCAACAAAATGTTCGCAACGTTGATCGGGCACACTATGGAAGTTTATGTTGATGACATGCTCGTCAAGTCGGTGCACGCCTTTGACCATATAACGCATCTTCGAGACATGTTCGCCATCCTCCGATCTTATTCCATGGTACTGAATCCGAAGAAATGCACTTTTGGAGTTGAATCCGGAAAATTTCTAGGCTATATGGTTAGCCAGCGCGGGATTGAAGCCAATCCGGCCAAGATAAAGGCCGTTCAGGAACTAACTCCCCCAACCTCGGTCAAGGGTGTCCAGGCCCTAACTGGCCGACTCGCTGCACTCAACCGGTTCATCTCCAAGTCTACAGATCGTTGTAAGCCGTTTTTTGAAGCGATCAAGAAAGGGAAACGTTGTTTTGATACGCGAAAAGCCGAAACCCGAGGAGATGTTGTTCTTGTACCTCGGAGTTAGTGAATCTGCCATTAGCGCTGTTTTGATACGCGAAGAAGGATTGCTGCAGTCACCTATCTATTATGTCAGCAAGGCCTTGCACGATGCCGAACTACGTTATCCTCCGATGGAGAAGTTGGCATTTGCCCTTGTGGTTGCAACCCGGAAATTACGACCATACTTCCAAGAGCATTCTATAACTGTCCGCACTTCATATCCACTTCGGCAGATCTTGCACCGACCTGACACCTCGGGACGCATGGTTAAATGGGCCATTGAGCTCGGACAATTCGATATCCACTATCAACCGAGGACCGCAATCAAGGCTCAAGTCCTATCCGATTTTATCGCTGAGTTCACCCCGGCCATCGCGATTCATTATAATAATCACCCATGGGTCCTCTATATTGATGGCTCTTCAACAGCCAACCGAGCAGGTGCAGGGATAGTCTTAGCTGATCCGGAGAATCGGTTATTCTGTCATTCGGTGAAATTCCTCTTTCCAGCAACAAACAATGAAGCCGAATACAAAGCGCTGCTATCCGGATTGAATTTGGCAGAGTCCATGAACGTGACCCACCTCAAA